GGAAAATTCCCAGTAGAGGAATAGCTGGTTTAAATGGGATTTCCAGTCCAACTTTTCTAAGGAGTCTCCACAGTGATTTCCATAACGGTTGCACCAGTCTACATTCCCACCAGCAGTGGAGAAGTGTTCCTTTTTCCCCACAGCCTCTCCAACATTTGTTGTTGGGTGATTTGTTTATGATAGCCATTTTTTCTGGGGTGAGATGATAATCTCAATGTTGTTTTAACTTGCATTTTGCGGATGGCTAGTGATGTGGAGCATTTTTTCATATATGTATTCGCTTCTTTAATTTCATCCTCTGAGAAGTGTGTGTTCATCTCAGATGCCCATTTCACAGCCAGAAAACTTTGATCACTGGTGTTTATTAACATCTTCCTGCCCAGTGTACCTTGCCTTCTTTCAATCCCCATAAAAAGGCCTGCTTTCCTTATCACTCTCTGCCTGCCTGCACCTAGGCATTAAACCACATGTCTTTTTGTTTCCACAAAAGCTTGTCTGTTAAATGGTCTCTGCCTTGCCTCGTTTTTTCATTTCTTACAATAAACAAATTCCTCATTCATCATTATAACATCAGTCCTTTCCTATTGCCAGCAGCCAAAAACCAATTAAGTTTTTTTTTTTTTTTTTTTTTAAGGAGAGGTTTATTTTTTGCTTTTGGTGCTGAGGATGGAACCCAGGCCTTCCACCTTGCCAAGCAAGCATTCTATCACTGAGCCAAATCCCCAGCCCCTATACCAAAAGTTTTAACCAAAATTTATATGGCTCAAGGTTCTGAAGGTACAAGGCAAAGGCCTTGTGTCACCTTTCTTTTCCTCCTCCTTCTTCTTCTTCTTCTTCTTCTTCTTCTTCTTCTTCTTCTTCTTCTTCTTCTTCTTCTTCTTCTTCTTCTTCTTCTTCTAACGTTTTATTTATTTATTTGGAACAGGGTCTCACTATGCAGTTCAGACTCAGAGTGACCTTCCTGTCTCAGCCTTCCCAGTGCTGGGATTACAGGCATATGCCACCACTCTTGGTTCTGGGAGCCAGCTCAACGCAGGGCTGGCATGGCATGCAGTAGCAGGGATTGAACCTGGATCCCTGCACTTGTCAGGCAGGTGCTTAGACTGCCGAGCTATCTCCCCAGTCCTGAGTCACCTTTCTTACAAGCAGAATCCTAAGGCAGTATGGAACATCACATAGTAAACAATAAGAAAAATGAGTGTGGATGCTTATGTATCTGTCTGTCCCTCTTTCTGGTCTCCTTCCTATTCTTACAAAGTCCCTCAATCTTGTGGGGTCTCTACCCTAATGACTTTAACCCTAAACAACACCCAAAGGCCTTACCTCTGGATACCATATTCAGACTAAGTTCCTAACCACCTAGTATTTCACAATGGAAATTAAGCTTCAACAGCTTGGGAATACACTCAAATTATATCTACCCCACAGCACTTACTAAGGTTTAATGATCCAGTGATCCACTCAGGTGCTACTTGATGCAATCCTCACCTCTCTACACCTCTCTGTTCACTCTCATATACACCTTTCTGCATGCACATTCTTACCTAAGAATAACTTTAATGTTCTCAAGCACAAAAACCTTAATCTTTACACTTTGAACAGAACTCCCCACAGTTTTTTCTCTCACTCAGCTCAAGACTCCACTCTAACGCTACACCATCTATCCATCCATCCATCCATCCATCATCTCTATAACTCGTAATCCCTCTATCTCATTTAATCTTATCTCCTTATTTCTTATTACT